GAAACAGACTCCCCACTGAGCAGGGAACCCAATGACCTGGGCCAAAGGCAGTCCCTTAAGCAAATGAGCCACCCAGGTGCCCCTCAAAATTAAACTTAAGTTTAATTTATTTCCCTGTATGACCTCATAAGGAAGATCATGGGTGTTTACCAATCCACAGGCACAGTATTGACCTAACTTCCCACCTAAGGAATCTGACCACTGAGTTGGTCTAGGGCACAGAAAGAATAATTCATCTTAACTGAGTCCTCTCTGAGAGACATATGTATTCACAAAGCTTAGCAATAAATAAATAAATTTTATATAGACATAATTTTATACATAGGTACGCACACATATATACAGACACATGTAATTATATGTATCAAATATTTTAAGTTTAATAAATTAAGTTTATTAAACAAATAAATAATATATGCATATATTCAACCCATTAGCAGTGTGATTACTTCAAGTTGTAAAATGAAACACTACAAACATGTTCAAAGTTATAATCAGTCAAAACTAAAAGAGAATATAGCTAGAGCAGCAATGAATTTTGTTCCCAAATCAAAGGCTCTTTACTACATATTCCAGTCTCTGTCTAACCAATAAGATCTGCGATACCATATTAACACTAACATTTGAGGCAAAACAGTTCACCAGTGAGATCTTCCTAAAAGAACAGGCACATTGGTACCCAAAGATATCAGATTATTTGACAACTATTTTTAAAGAGTAATGACTCTTTTTTCTACATTTCTTAATAATTAAAAAAAAAAGATATACTCACATCTAATAAGCCAGTAATGGCTAATTTCATCCCTAAAACTCTAGAGTTTCACCCCAATTTGTTTTAATGTGCAGAAAAAAGCATCATGGAATAATACTGTATTATTACTGTATGTAACAATGCTATTTCCTGTTAATTCCTTCCCCTCTCTACTCTTTTCCAATTATACCCACATCTCAAAGATCTAAAATCTTCCTTTTTTTTTTTAAGATTTTATTTATTTATTTGACAGAGATCACAAGTAGGCAGAGAGGCAGGCAGAGAGAGAGGGGGAAGCAGGCTCCCCACTGAGCAGAGAGCCGGATGATGCGGGGCTCGATCCCAGGACCCTGAGATCATGACCTGAGCCGAAGGCAGAGGCCCAACCCACTGAGCCACCCAGGCGCCCCTAAAATCTTCTTTTTGACTATTCATCCCCCCAAGGATTTATCCTTCATGAGAAACTCCAATATTCAGCTGTAGGACTCGGATATGTGATCTTCTGTGTAGGGCACTGATCTACTTGTATTAATCATGACAATCTAAGTAAATTGTAAGTTCCTTAAAATTCTTACCTTACCATTGTTTTTAAGCTGCTTCTTTCTTCACCAAAGGCTGACTATCTTACTAAGTACATGGCAAATGTCACCGTATAATCTACATACACTAATTCTTATTCTCAATTCTGTTTTTTATTCTCAAGCCTGTTAGATCAGAGTCAGAGTGGCCACTAAGAAGAATGCCTTTTCACATTATTGATGTTCAAAGACAGGAAAAATGCATCCCAAGCTACTGCTTTGAGTTCACTGGGACCAAAATCTACAACTTGCTCATTTTGGTAGTCATACAAAGATAATATAGTACTTGGCACATAGTAGGCACTGAATAAATATGTTGAATTATACTTCAGGATTTTCCATTATACTACAGAAGATCAAAAGACCCTTATTATTTCTGAAAAGACATGTTATTTAAGATTTTACTGAATGCTGAGGATCGAATAAAACTGCCCTTAGACTTTGCAAAAATGCTGTTCATCATCTTCCAATATATAATCCAATTGTGAATGATGAAGCAGTGGATGAGTAAATAACTAATCATAACTCAGTATAATGCAGAGTTTTGTTCTAATTAGTACAATGTTTCGAGCAGCTATTATTATGTTCGAATCTACTCCAATACCCGAATATTCCGGTGACTCAAGTCCAGAGAACTTCTAAAAAGAAAAAGCCATTTTGAAATAACCTCAAAGGTCTAAAGCTGTTGGTGCAGAATTTATGCAAAAAAAAAAGAATATTCAAAAAAGGATATTGCATTTTAGAATAGAAGAAGCAAAAAAGAAAAACAAATACCATACAGTGACTAACATAGTGATCTAGTCATAATCAGCTTTTTAAAAAATTTCTAATTTCTGCTCCAAGTTAATAAGAACAGTCTGCTAATTTATGTCAAGATATGGCATGGCCTAAGGGCACAGCATTGCCAATAAAGGAATTAGAATTCTGCATATAACAGTTTATGTTTTTAATACATACCAGTGGCAAGGTGCCAGAATACTGAATGTAACAATTGATGAAGAGTGAGGTTCAGAGCTGCAAGTCATAGCTACAGAGACCAACATGTTCTGCGATTTTACAAAGTTTTAAGTTACCCCTCCATTCAAAACTCCATCAAAGGCATGTTCAATCACACGTGCAGTACTATCTTAAAAAGATAAATGCTGGACAACTGCAAGATGTCATAAGTTAAACATACCCTATAAATACTTGTTCTCAAAATAACTATCATTCACATTATATAAAAGGCCAGGGTTCTGAGATTTGGCCTTAGTAGACATAACTCCATGTGCAAACCTAGGACAATGATAGCCTCAAGAAAGTAATTAGCAACCGCATCACAGCCTTTATCATTCATAAATTTCACTCTCAGGGTAAGATTTTTCCACAAACAGGCCCTGGCCGCCAATCAAAGATCCCAAAGCATTAAGTCAAAATTTTATCTCTCAATCTGTCCAGAAGATAGATCCTTTCTTTTACTTGGTTCTACATTATTTACGTTTCCCCATACGTTTTGTAAATGACCTGTTTTTGTTTTTGCCCTTAGGGAAGGCTCAAATAAAAGAAGACACAGAAAGAGTGAGAGATCTGCAGATTTCCTGACTGACCTCTTCGTGATTCTAATGAAGAGCCCTAGGGAGGTTAAAAGTTTTCACCCTAGATCTACCTGGTCTCCAGATGTCTACAAGATAATGAGCCCCAGCAGAACCAGGACTCTGCAGTTCCTCCTTATTTATTCTGTCTAAAATAGACAGTGGAGTGACACATCATAATATAAGGAAGTATGCGCCCACAGAGGCAGAGTTTTGACTGCCTTTCTCTTAATTTCAGCCTCTTCCCCAAGACAACAAACACCTTACTTTGCTGATGTAGGCTTCCCACATCCCCCACGGTAGAAACCTCAACTACTATAAAGCACAGTTCTGCCAAGGGGAGCAGGCCCAAATTTGCTCATTTTTTAAAACGCCATAATGTTTCAGATGGAAACACAGCCTGCCAAAGATGTCAAATAAAAGAATAACAAAGAAGAAAAGAATAGCATCTTTAGACTTGAATTGCAATGCATAGCCTCGCCATCTGTCAACCAGTTGTGAAGCAATGATCCCACGGATGCCCTGCGCACACGGACAAGTTAGATCCTTGCACCCATCATCTGTGTCAGTCCCCACTCTCAGGACCTCAGTGGTAATTACGTTCTGTCTCTGGAACAACCTGCAGAAATGGCATGAGCCACTGGCAAACCCAACCCTGCCACTGAATGGGCCATTTTCACAGGTTTTCATTTGGTAACAAATGCGGAGCTCGGTTCCTAGAGGTGATGGGAAATCCGGGGAGCAGGGGAGTTGGGCTGGGGAAGGTGGGGGTGGAAAGGGGACTCTTTCTTCGCGTTTGTATGGGAAATTGGACAGAGGAGGTTCATCTCCAGAGGCCAGGCATCCAAACCACCCTCCAGTCTCCTCCCCCTTGGCCTCAGAAAACAGGAATACAATTTTGGACCTCGAGTATGTACCACTCCTTCCCTTCCCCACCGCGGCCACCACCTTAGAAGTTACAGGCTTCGCTCTCGCACAACTGCGGGTGCGGACTCCCTGACCGAGAGCCAAACCAGCCAGCCTTCGCGAGCCGAACGGTGGGCTCGGACTTCGCCACCAGCTCCGCGACGCCACCCGCTGCCGGAGGGGCAGGCTCGCGGGAGACCCCACCTCTCCCACCCGGCCCTCCTCCTCCCACCCCCGCCGCCTGGAGCAGCAGCCTGACTTACGCAGCCTCAACCCCGGCACCGCCTTGGCTTCCTTGGATCCCAATCACAGCGGTAGGGGTGGGAGGGCACACGTGGAACGGAGGGTCAGGGTGAGGGGGGAGCGGGAAAGAACGAGGCAGTCCGGTTCCCAAGAACCAGGACGCAAGTGGCAAGACCCTGCTGCACGCCCACCACACACACGAACACGCTCACCGACGCGCCCCAGGTTCAATGCCAAGTGTCTACAAGATGGGAGGCTGGAAGGAGATGGGGTGGAGGTAAGGCCCGGAGTTACTGGGAGCGGCATTCGGAGAGCTGAGGATGCTTCAGGAACTGCCAAAGTGAGAAAGTCCCAGACGCCACCCCCCCATCCCCAAGTCTGGTCTCCCCTGCCTGCCGCCCGGGTCGCCTTCCTTCCAGCCGGGCTCGAGAGGCGGGGAGGGGAGTCGGAGCCAAGCTTCCCCTGGGCTGCCCTCCCCGGCCTGGCCCAGGGCCCGGAACCCGGCCCCCCTCCAGCCCCGGCTTGGGGAGATTGCCAGGCAAGGAGCGACTTGCCAAAGGACTCTGGGGGAGCAAGAGGGCAGGACAGGAGCATTTTGCACGCTCTGGCCCGGCTGCTCATTTCTTCCTCTGTCGACACACCCCCAGTGGGCCCCCTTCCCGGACATTACACGCACACAGAAACCGAGACACGCACGCGTTCGCCCTTCCCACCGTCCCAGGTCCATCGATTAAAACACTAGTTGATTTCCTCCTGATTAAAAAAAAAAAAAAAAAAAAAAAAGTGCAACAACTCTTCTCCGGAGTCGCCCGAGCAAAGAAAGTCCGTCTGCGGGCGTCTTTCTATAGTTTTCCAGGAGTTAAGAAAACGGGCGGTCCCCAATGAAAACGGGACCGGAACCCCGAGGGGGCAAAAGGTGACGAACTCCTTCCCCACCCCCGCGCTTCTCACCTCCTTAAGTTCCTTGGCCACGTCCTTCAGGTCGCCCAGGACTAATTCCAGATCCTCCACGATGATCTTGATCTGCTCCTTCACCTTGGTTTTGGAGGCTGCCGGCGGTCCCTCGGCTGGAGAGGACGAGGAGGGGGTCCCCTTGGACTTGGCTGACATTCTCTGGGGGCAGGCGAGGCAGGTCAGCACAGGCGGGCGAGCGGAGGCTGCTGCGCGCCCCCGTCCCTGGCGCTGCTGCGGCCGCCCCGATCCCCCCACATCCTGGACGCTCCTTGGGCAGCGGCGGGTGGCTGCGCTCGGCGCTCGGCAGGGCGGCCGCACCGTGGTGCTGCCATCAACTCCCCGAGACGCGGAGCTCCGCGCGGGGCTGCAGACGGGCGAGCAGCGCGCCTGCGCCTCCTCCCGCCGCCGCCCGCCGCTCTCGCGCACACACGCGCTCACTCCCCGCCCGCCGCGCCCGGGGCTGCCAGCTGCAGTCCTCGCCGCCCGGCCCTCCGGGAGCCCTGGCCCCGCACCTGGGCGCCCGCGAGCCCGGAGCCCGCTCCACGCCCTGTCCAGCCCCGGCCTCGAACCTGAGCTGCCCTCGTCTCCGCAGCCCGAGGTGGGCTTTCTCATGGCTAGCCCCGCTGGCTTCCTTCTCGCCCGCAGGCAGAGCCATGGAGCCCCGGCGCACTTGGTGACAACATGCAAAGAAACACAGTAGGGCCGGCAGTTGGATTTGGGGGCGGGGGGAGGGGGCAGAAAAGCTACCCTAGGTGTTTACCCAGGACCAGAGTGTGTTCAGAAGGCCTCCAGTCACTCTCCTAGTGACCTGCGAGTTAAACGGAGGTGTGCCTACTTCTGCATGAGAGAGAGAGAGAGATGTGCATAAGTGATGAGCCCTCGCCCCCTGGAATAATGAAGTTCAACCAATACTCTTGAAAGAGTTTGCCTAATCCTGCTGATTCCACAAAACTAACAGCGGATTTATTAATTTCAAGTCTTCACACCAAAAATTCCCCGGGGAGACTGTCTGAGTCATCTTGGCTGTACTTATCTGGGACAGCTCCGCTTTTCTTTTTTTTTAACTGTTTTCGTGACCTATGCCCATGTGTGTTTTGAGTGGAGCCGGGAGGGAATAAGCTGTCCGCATCTCTTCTTAGGGGAGTTGAATAAGAAGAGTGCCTACAACTTTTTTTTTTTTCAATCGGTTTTTTAAAAAAATCTCCATTTCAAGCCTTTTGCTACTAAATAGGAAATAACTTTCTGACTGTTCTGTCAAAAGGACCCAGGGACGGGAGTTAATAGGAAGCCTTCAGTTTCATTCTCAGTAGGTGGCTCCCATTCTCATTAGCTAAAGTTTTAATTTCCTTAGTAAAAAACCCATGGGCTATTAGCTACTGACCTGGCAGGAAGGCTGTACTTTATTGTCTTCAGCGCACACTACTCCAAATCATTATTTTAATAGGCGTCCCCTCTTCGTCATGCCTTCCCAGGTCCCTTGCTTCTTCCTTCTCACACCCCAGGTGGCTCCAACAAGCTTCTAGAGTTGAAGAAAATCTTGACAGTTCTTCTGAGTTCCTTAAGCCCACCGCGGTCAGTCAGTCTTAATTCTGAACAATTTATCTTGACAAAATCACTGGAAGTCATATATGAAATACGAAAAAAAAAAAAAAAAAAGAGGCAACAGAAGAAAACAGAAATTTAGATATGGTGTCAAAACAGTAACAGCATTGAAAAATACATTGAAAAATCAGGCGACAAAGAAGAAAGCAGAGGCTACTGGGGAATAATTAAAATAAAGAAAGAATAATGAAACCAGTGTGCAGTAAGCAAATTGGAGAGGAGAAAAAAGAAGAAAAACTTAAAAGTGTTAAATAAATAATATGTTTAAGGTTTCTGAGTTGGGGAAAATAGATTTTTTTTTCTAAATTCCTTTACTTCTGCAGGTTCTTTATATTATATAGATATAACAGTAAAAATAATTATATCAGCTTTACAAACTGTCCCACTAAAAATTTCTAATTTTTATTGAGACTCTTATTTCATATGTGAATAAAGATAAATGGTCAGAAATGGCAGGAAATTATATGAGAAAAAAAGAAAAAGTGCTTTTCCTCTAGATTTGAATGTTTGACTGCAAGTAAATACAAAAGCCCCCTAAATTCAAAGAATAATGATTTTAGGCAAGAATACTGGAGATGAAAGGAAGTGGTATTTTCCCTCCCACTGACAAAATAATATTCTTGTTATGTAAGAATATATCCATGCTACTCTGATTCACCTTCACTAAAGATGTGAAAAAAAAAAATCTGTTGTCCTATGGTCTCCATTGCTATTAATGAACAAAACTATTCTGGCTCAGAACTGAATCATAATTTTTGCTCTGAAACACACCATTCACACCCATATCAGTTTATTCTTAAATAATGGCGGCCCTCTATTTATGTCTATATTGGAACACAGCATGGAGTGAACTGAAAGGGGAAAAGTTAAAACTGACTTCCAAACCCAAACTTAAAAGCTTATAGGACCCAAGCAGTTGTGGCTACCACTATCTTCCAATTATTAAGCAGGTATGGGTAAAATATTTCTAAAGAAGAAACTTTTACATAGTTAAAAAATACTGAGGGAAAGAAAGCAGAAGAAAATGACATACACACAAGAAGGACACAAACATATTTATATATAAATATATTTTCTCTGTGTGTGTGTGTGTGTGTGTGTGTGTGTGTGTGTGTGTATTTACTTTCTACTTTTTATTTTTAACCCTTATGGAAAATAAATCATTCATTGCTTTGGCCCATCCTGGACTGTCAAAGCTTCATATATGATGTTTTAAAGCCAAATTACAGAGACCACAGAGCAGAAGTGACACATAGTAAAATTTCTGACAAATCTGTCCATAAATTTGTTTATGTATGAGCACTAGCTACAAATGGGTACATACTCTTATAAACTTAGACACTTATAAACTTATAAACTTAGACATCACTTATAAACTTATAAACTTATAAACTTAGACACATCACTTATAAACTTAGACACAAAAACATACTTCTAAAAAAACGTAAGGTCTTATTCACAGAAGTGATTGTACACCCAGCATTTTATTCTGTGTCTTTATGTTTTCTGAGTTTTGCAGCAAGAAGGATTGGATAATTATAGGAGATCATCTAGTGGTTGTTTTTTTAGTTACAAGCACTTATCAGTATTCTTGGGCATGTGTGTGTGTGTGTGTGTGTGTGTGTGTGTGTGTGTGTGTAATCTATTGCAATCGATCCCTAATAATTGATGTGCAGGAAATATAATGACACTGACATAATTCTGAATTCATTAGGAATTCAAGAATATTCCCAAAATACTTTGTCCCATTTTGGTGCAGTGGCTCTTACTGATTTATTACCTTAACAATGCTCATTGATTCTCAAACAACAGATGATAGGCATCACATAACATCACTCCTAATGGAGACTTCTGGTTTTCTTTCTTTTTTTTTTTCTTTCATATGAATTTATTTTTGTTTGTAAAATCTAATAAAGTTATTAGAGATCTTTGAAAAGATGAAGAAACTAGAACTAGAACTCTGTGTTGACCCATACTTCTGCTGGAGTGGTCTCTGTTTATCTGGAGAAGAGTCTCCTTATCAACTGCTTTTGGCATGACCTCTAGCTTCTACTGATAAACGCATATTGGTTTACAAAATGTGATCTGAGAATATAAGTGGAAGTTTTCTACGTAGAACCGTGTCTCTTGCAAGGCACCTGCTCAATAAATACCGGAGAAGAAAATAAAATACTGAATGAAGTGTTGTCCGTCTCGATGTGTTTTGAGATTAATTTAATTCAACAAATACTTTTTAAATGGCTGCTCTAGGCAAGAATCCAAACTACAGAGGAGCAACTAGGTTTAGCCAGACATAGTCCTAGTAGGAACAATTAGGTAATTCCACATAGGACTCGAATATAAAAACTGAGATTACCTCAGAGTATCTCATCTTGCCCTGTTTCCCAACTGCAATCAGTTAATTTCACTTGATCTCCGAAGTCAATATATACTTGGCTTTTGTTTTGTTTTTCTGTTTTTTACTTTTTATCCATGTGACAGAAACTGAACTTTGCCTAACGCAACAAAGGAAATTGTTTCAGAGCCAAACCGAAGAAAGGTTAAAGACAGGAATATCTTCACCTAGGATTGCAGCCAGAAATTCTAAGATCATTGGCACTACTTCTTTCTGTCCTTGTATCCCACCGCCTTTTTGTGGATTGTTACTTTCTCTTAAGCTCATTTCTACATAAGGTTAAAATGAGGTCCCTGGTAAGTCCAGGCTCCCATCTTCACTACGTGGCAACTAGAAAAGAAAAAGACCATCACAGCAAGCTTCCGGGAGAAGACTCTGACAGGGCTAGCGCAGGGTATGGACACCTCAGCCCATTGCCATTACCGGGTAAGGTGTAAAGCTAAGAGCAGGGTTGTGCCATTCTTACAGAAAAGGCATGCACTTGTATACTTATTACTATGATTTTCCAGCAGGTGGCAGTAAAACAAGTTATTCCACCAAAGCCCGTCTAGTATGATAATTTTCTTACACAGAAGTAAAGTGTTTTGGGGGCACCTGGGGGGTGGCGCAGTGGGTGAAGTGCTTGCCTTGGGCTCAAGTCATGATCCTAGGGTCCTGGGCTCCCTGCTCAGCATGGAATCTGCTTGAGATTCTCATTCTCTCTCTCTCTCTCTCTCTCTCTCCCTCCCTCTTCTGCTCTCTCTCATAAATAAGTTAACTGTTTTAAAAATAATAATTAAAAAAAGGAAGTAAAGTGTTTTCAAGAAGCAAAATCATTTACAGATTCACAGAAAGAAAGACACCGTAGGAGTTAGCAAGGCTTGGGTAAGGAAACTGGGGTGAGGACGTTTAATGACTGGCCCAACTTGGATCAAGTTGCCTGCACCAGTGCCCTATTTCACCACCAAAAGAGGAGACGTGCCCCTGGGAATATAAAAACAATAGGTATCCCCCATATAGACCTCAACGGGATCACATAACTTCTTTCTGACACTTAGAGATTAATATCTTTTCATTGTTCTCGCTTCTGGAAGCCAGCTTCATTCAAGTCTGCCATTGGGCATTCGGTTTACCCATACCAAGAACCCTTCATCCAGCCCCATCTCAGGTTCCAGCTTGGAAGACCTCAGTGGCCCAGAGCTGCTCAACTGCCCCAGAACACGTGAAACAATTACTCCCTTTACCCGTTTTTAGGAGTTTCCACTCACCCTGAATCCCTGGGACCCGTGC